CCCACATGAGGCCAGGAAGATTCAGTCTTGAAGGTTAAGGGTGGAGGAAACACCATTTTTTATTTCATTTTTTTAAAAGAATTAAAGAGAAAACATTCGCTGGAAGAAGATAAATTAGCATAACGTGCCGGTGAAATCCCTGCAGTGCTTTTTTTCTCTTTCCTTTTTTTCTTCTTTGTCTTTTTAATAACCTAACCTGGGGTGATGAAAGAGACAGCTACATGTAGTTACTCTGAGGCAGCAGGGCGGTGTACTTGTTAGTTTGACAGGCTGTCTGTTAAACCGGGGCCCAGCGCAGTGACTCTGTCCTTGAGAAGTGTCCTTGATACAAATTTATTGAATCCCTGCCAGCCTCTGGGATGGTGTTCCTGACCTCTGACCTTCCTGTCCAGGTGGAAAAAGAAGATGAGGAGGTGGAAAAAAAACCAGGTCATTGTGGGCTCCGTGACTGTGGCTATTAAAATGCGAACAAATAAAAATGAAGGTTTTATGTGTGACTGTTACAGTTATGTCAAGATAAAAGGAGATGCTCACATTGCTTGTGTCGTCCAGTTTTAACCATTATCATTAATAAATCTCATGAACAATGAGACAAGGAATTGTTTTGGGTTTCCAGAAACTCATACGTCTGTATCCAGTTTGAGCCAGTCTGTACTTTATCCCATTACACATTACTGCTGCCACTGAACAACAATGAACTTATATTAAAGAAGAAGAAGATGTAAATACCTGGTGACACCGTTTGAGTGCATGAGTCTTAGGACTCGTGAGTTCAATGGTTGATTCTTTCTGCACTACATACATGCATACATGGTTTGGTTTGTGCTTATCAGCATAAAAACAGCTGTTAAAATCGATGTTCATTTCCTCTGAGTCATCTTTCTTTTAAAGGCAGAAGTACAGAAATAAATCAGTCACGCTTTGCTCTCGGTTTTAATTTTAAAACTTTGGGATCGCAGTGAGGTGGTTTGAACTGCTTTTATAGAAAAACACATACACGTCCCAAAGATGGATGTGTCCCACATCTAAAAAGTTTACACAATGCAGAAGTGCCCTAAAGTTGGATTTAATTAAATGGGCAGCAGAGCGCAATTCCTCTTGCTGCAGAAAAAGAAGTCGAGCAAACAGCCCTCAATTCCTTGGTGAACACTTTCCTGATGAGTTTATGGTGTTGATCATTAGTTTAAAGTCTTATTGAATACAACATTTAGTTTTGTGTGTGAACAGTTCCCATTAAAACAAAAAAGGACAATAAATCAGGGTTTAGTTTGGTGTTTGTAGCTGACAGTAGTGCTCACCGTT